TCCTGAGGAAAAAGCAGAAGTGTGACTCACAGCTGATGTGTCGCTTAAACCTCAGTGTGTGTGTGTGTGTGTGTGTGTGTGTGTGTGTGTGTGTGTGTGTGTGTGTGTGTGTGTGTGTGTGTGTGTGTGTGTGTGTGTGTGTGTGTGTGTGTGTTTTTCACCAATTTTCTTACCAAGGGGATTTTAAGTCATTATTCTGCTTTTAGTGTTTCCTGTCCAAGGTCTTTGGTTTGTCAGTACGGACCAATTTCCTCTAAATCCTACAAAAGAATATATTTGTAGCTCACGGTTGCCGATAATTCCTCCAAAGTACTCAACAATGTGTATGCACTTCCTGTTCGTCCAAAAACCTGAACTAGCACACACAGTAACAATTTGTGTTAAGAATGTCACAAGGCTCAGGACCCAAACGCACAACACCAGAAACAGGTCAGATTAACAAGGTCTTTAAATTCAGGTCAAAACACAAAACGCTCACTTGGAGAATCAAAACTCTAAACAAAAACATCTATTATCAAAACTATACTTAACACGATCAAGGAATGACTGGTAGGCTTGACGAGACAAGACGAACTGGCTCCGGACAAAGGGAGACGCAGACTATATATGCACACTAGGTAAGGGGACACAGGTGGCAACAATTAAGGGAGGGGCTGACAATCACGCTGGAGGGAAAAACACACAAGGGCAGGAACGCTCTGAAACGAGAGGGAAAGGTTACTACAAACTAAAACAGGAAATCACAAGACAAAGCAAAAGACAAAAGGACTGAACTAAATCAATTAACTTAACACAAATGTCTCGACACCACAATTTGCAACTGCACTACTTTTTAATAGTTTTATTAATGTATTAACATCATCCCTGTGTTTTTTATATTGTAAACTGTATTTAAATGATGTGCGGGATGTGTGCATGTTGGTATGGATGTGTGAGCATATGTTTATGTGTTATGTTTATATAGATTTTTTAAATTGTGTTCTACCTGCGATGGCAATAAAGGAATTATATTCTATTCTAAAATCAATCAAATGTGTTTCTATTTTGGCATTAATAAATTGTTCATAATCTGATACGTAGATTCATAACATCCTGCGAGCTGTGGTGGAAATCAGGTGTTGGTAAAAAGAGAGTGCTTCCCTGGCTTCATCCTAATAAAACAATGTGAGCATCAAACACATTAATCTGGATTCACTCTCTGCAGGTATTTCTCTCGTTGGTTCCAAAGTGTTTTGGGTTCTTTGGATCCCGGTGTTCTTGCTTGCTAGTCCAGTTTGTATTTATGTATTTCGTTCCCTCTCTTTTGATCTGATCTGCTGCCGCTCTACTTGCTGACTAACCTGCATTAACCCGGAGGCTCTTTCACGGCTTCAGAGCAGCGGAGGGTAATATTGATGTGTTGGCATCAACTCCAAACATGAAAGACACTTTTCTCTAATCGCTGCCAAGCTGACTGTTCCTCCTTTCAGTCTTTCAGCTGAGATCTACAGCCCTCCATCTCCACATCGTGCTGAGTGTTTGTGAGAGCAGACTGTGGATTACATTAAAGCGTTTCCCTTCTTTAACCCTCAGGAGAAATACAGAAAAAGCTCTGAGATATTCCGGATCACGTCAAATGCATAATAAATACATGATTTATGTGATTAAAAAAAGATGGTTTCTGCTGTCCGGGGGAAAGATGAAGCAGATCTCATCAGAAGGAGCCCAGAGTCCATAAAACAGCAAACCACCATTACCATATTTTGGAGGATTATAGTTTCAATTTTGTCTGAAAACCGAGATCCATTTGATCCAATTGCTCCTTGCGAACTTCAGCACAAACAAGCCATGAAATGGAAGTATATTTGAATGTTGCAACAGAAACTTGGTGGCGTTAAAAGCAGACAATATCAAAAGCTATCTGGGTTCATCCTCTGGGGAACATGATGCATCCAACTGCTGATCAAAGCTTGTTAACCAATACACAAATGTTATTGCGTTGAAACAAAAGTCAACGGGAAACCGGTCTTTGGGAAATATCTTCTGGGCAACTTGAACCAAACCCAGCTTCTCCAAATGTCTTACTTTTTGGTGTCTATATACGCCGGGATCCGGAGTCATGGATGATCCTGCGGTCCTGTGTCATGGATTGCGAGTCCTGGATCTTGAGTCGTGGCTGTGGTCCTGGATCATAAGTCCTGGATGGATATACTCGTGGATTCATCTTCCTATTATACACACATGCATTTCCAAACATTTGGACTACCTATGTTGCAAATGTATTATCTTTTCAATTTACACACGGCATCTATTGCACGTCTGTCCGTCCTGGGAGAGGGATCCCTCCTCTGTTGCTCTCCCTGAGGTTTCTCCATGTTCCCCTTTAAACTGTGGGGTTTCTCTGGAAGTGTTTCCTTGTACGATGTGAGGGTCTAAGGACAGAGGGTCTAAGGACAGAGGGTCTGAGGACAGAGGGTCTGAAGGACAGAGGGTGTCGTATTGTCATACTGATATTCTGTAC